CTGTGAGAAACAGCAGAGGGGGTTGCCATTTCCCCGCTCTGACCACGCCCCCACATACAGCGTCACAAACCAGCGACCTGGGAATCCAAGGCGCCGCTTCTCACACTTAAAGGGCCAGAACAGACCAAAAATTTTGCAAGATCTCAAAGGCCCAGAGCCCATAGATCTAAGCGATGAAGAAATAGCAAAACTCTCAGACGCACAGTTCAAAACACTGGTCATCAGGATCCTCACAGAACTGGTTGATTATAGCCACAAATTAGACAAATATATGAAGGCGAAACTAATTGAAATGAATGGAATTGCACAGGACACCAAAAGCAATGAAAAGGAAACTGGGACTCAAATCAATGGAGTGGACCAGAAGAGAGCAAATAATGGCCAAACAGAAAAGAGTCAAGAAGAAAGAATTCAAAGAAATGAGGAGAGTCTTAGGAACCTCCAGGACATCTTTAAACGCTCCAACATCAGAATTATAGGGGTACCAGAAGGGGGAAAGGCACAGCCACCAGTGGAAAACTTATTTGAACAAATAATAAAGGAGAATTTCCCCAATCTGGCAAAGGAAATAGACTTCCAGGAAATCCAGGAAGCTCAGAGAGTACCAAAGAAGTTGGACCCAAGGAGGAACACACCAAGGCACATCATCATTACATTAGCCAAGATTAAAATGAAGGAGAGAATCCTAGAAGCAGCAAGAGCTAAGGGGACAGTCACCTACAAAGGAGTTCCCATCAGACTGTCAACAGATTTCTCAAAAGAGACCTTACAGGCAAGAAGGGGCTGGAAAGAGGTATTCCAAGTCATGAAATCCAAAGACCTACAGCCAAGATTGCTCTATCCAGCAAAGCTTTCATTTAGAATGGAAGGACAGATAAAGTGCTTCTCAGATAAGATCAAATTCAAGGAGTTCATCATCGCCAAGCCCTTATTATATGAAATGTTAAAGGGACTTATCTAAGAAAAAGAAGTTAAAGAAACATGAACAGTGAAAGGACAACAAACTCACAGTTATTAACAACCACACCTAAAACGAAAGCAAACTAAAAGGACAGCTAGATCAGGAGTGGAAACATAGAAATGAAGATCTCAAGGAGGGTTAGCAACAGGGGAGTGGGAGGAGGAGAAGGGGGGAGAAGGTACAGAAATAAGTAGCATAGATGGTAGGTAGAAAATAGATAGGGGGAGGGCAAAAATAGTATGGGAAATATAGAATCTAAAGAACTTGAGACATATGGTCATAAACTAAAGGGGGGGAATGGTGGGGATGGGGAGGTAGGGTGGAGGGGAATGAAGGGGGGAATAGAACAACTGTAACAGCATAATCAATAAAAAAATTTAAAAAAAAAAAAAGAAGAAATACCTGACCCGACCTGCCCTGTATCTATGAAGGAAATTGGAATTGTCGTTGAAAATCTTCACACAAAGAAAGCTTCAGGCCCAGGTACCTTTTCTGAGGAATTCCACCAAATATTTAAGGAAGAAATAATATCAGTTCTACACAAACTTCCTCCCAAAATTGGACAGAGGACGATATACATCTCCGCTCATTCTATGAGACCAGCATTACCCTGATACCAAAAATAGGCAAGGACATGACAAGAAAAGAAAAACATGTTGAAATACCACTATCCAAGAGAAAAGGAATCATATGTTCATGCAAAAACTTGTACATGAATGTTCCTAGCGACTTTGTTTGCAGTAGGTAAGAACAAAAGTCAAATGCCCATCAACAGGTGAACAGGTAAACTAGAGCACATCCATCTGATCGATACTACTCAGCCATGACCAAGGTACATGCAACACTGGTGGGAATCTCAAAGTGATGCTGAGCGAAAGGAGAGAGGGTGCCTGTGTGATACCATGTATCTAAACTCTAGAAGATGCAAACTAGTCTGCAGCGACAGGCAGCAAGCAGGTCAGGGGTCGCTTGTGGATGAGGTGGTAGGGGGAGAAGCGAGGCCTCACCAGGGCGCGCGAGGAGGAACTTCTGTGTGGTAGAAATGTTCACCGCCTTGATTGTGGTGGTGGTAGTTTCACAGATGTCTACACGAGTCAAAATGTGTTACACTGCACACTAAACTTGTAGCATCGCTATGTCCACCGTAATGTGGAACAGGTCGCTTTTCTACAAGTTTCTTTCAGGTCCTCTCGACATCTTGGCAAGGCAGGGTCAGGCTCGCGGAGACCGAGCCCCGGAGGGGTGAAGGCACCTGGAGCTGGCCCAGGCAGACGCCGGAAGTGAGCGTGGATCCTGCACTCCTGGGCGCAGGGCTGCGCTTTGTTCAGTCTGCCCAGCACTTCCAAGCACCCTCCTCGTGGGTCCCTTTCAGTCCCGGAAGAGGGCAGAGCCTGCATCCTCACTGCTCGTCTCCCCACCTACTTTGCACGCAAGGAGACTGAGGTCCAGGGAGGTCCTGACTGTCTTATTCCAGGGGCAGCACAGCTGGAGGTCTGAGCTCTGCCACAGGACACCACTGTGGTGGTCTCCTGGGAAGAGGCATGCTCAGAAGTTCCGGCGAATCCTGGGCCCCCGGGACAGCTGTGCGAGAGGGCGCATCGTGCAGTTAGCACTGCAGACTGAAGCCAGGCAGCCCAGCTCACATCCAGGCTCCTCCAGTTCCTCCTACACTTTGACCTTGGACAAGTCACTTAACCTCTCCCTGTCTCAGTTTACTCGTTGAAGGAGTATAAAGTCATCGGAACAGTACCTGTCCTGGAGAAAGACAATGGAAGTACTTGTTAAGTAAATGACTTCAGTCCTGCCTGGTCTCAGAGGTTTGGCTCCCACCACTCCCACCCAGAGATCCCTGAGGGAGGCCCTCCCAGCACTGACGAGCCCTGTGCCCCCCAGGCGGCAGGCACTTTCCAAACCTTATGTCACCCGCGCTGCATCCAGCAGGATGAAAGGAGGCTTGGTTTACCTAGTTCCAAGATGAGGGAAGAGGCCTGGAGAGAACCAGACCACCAGCTGGTGGCGTGGCCTGTCTGCCTCCGAGACAGACTGGATCCGGACTAGCCTGAGTGAGGCCCACCTGCCGCCTCCTTCCTTGGAGCCTGGGCTGGAGCCAGCCTGGTGGGTGCTCTGCCCACCAGGCTGCGTGAGTCACAGAAACCCCCCGATTCCTGGAGAGTCGCAGCCTCTCGGGTGGTTGGGAGGCCCGATGTGAGCATCCCTTGGTGGGGCCGTGGATACCTGCCTGGCAACAAGGCCAGCCCTCTTCTCCTGAGCTGTTTCATGCTCTGGCTCTGCTGCTGCTTCAAGCGTCTCCGTCCAAGAGGCGGGGAGATTGAGACCAGCTGCTGCTGCCCGGATTCTCCCAGAGCTCGCCTGGCAACTCCCGGCTCAGGTCCTCACACCGTCCTGGTGGGAATCTCTCCGAGAGGTGACATTCAAGGTTGGTGGGTTGAACCGCGACCAGTGGTGGGCAGGGAGTGAGGAGAGCTGCAGGGCCGGAGGGCAGGAGGCAGCGTGGCATTTCTCCAGCAAGGAGTCACGGGCGACGGGGGCTGCCTGTGAGTGACAGCAGGCTTATCAGCCTGCCGGGCCCAAGGCCAGCTTCCCCATTGTCCCCTCTCCACTGGCCCCTTGCACCTCCTGCCCTGCTTTGCCTCTCAGGGGAGCCCCAGCCCCTTGGTCCAGGGTGGAGGCACAGGGAGATGCTGCTGTGACTCCCGAGCCAGTAGGCAAGGCGGCCTGGGAGGGTGCCAGACCACAGAGAGAAAGGACAGACCCAAGGCCCTGGGACGAGAAGGCCTGGCCAGGTCTCACAGCAAGTCAGGAGCAGAGCTGGGCCCACAGGGGGCCCCTCACACCCTTCCCATCACCTCCGGGTCAGGGGTCCTGGGAAGGTGCAAGCCAGTGGGGCCCGACTTGAGGTGGGGCAGGCAGCCCAGAAGGGGAGTTCCTCCTCCTCACTGCCTGCTGCCTGGTCCTGGTACCAACACCATCTCACCCTCACCCTCCTTGGCCATCTCCCTCTGGCCCAAGAGGCTGCTATCCATCCTGCTGGCCTGCAGACACGCTGTGGTCCCTGCCAACGCACAGGCCCCTGGTGGGAGCTGCTGGGCCCAGGGACACAGCCCCGGACCGCCTCCTTCTCCTTGGCCCGTGGGGCCTCCCTCTGCTGCTGGATCCCTCCTCCTGCAGACCTGACCCCCTGGCTCTGCACAGGAGCCTCCTCACTCTGGGTCTCAGTTTCCCCCCAGACGTCTCTCAAACCCTTTTCCGTGTCTGCCCTGCCGATATCCAGTTGGGGTGAGCCCCAGTGCTCCATGCAGGGCTGTGGGGTGGCCCCGGCACTGGGCTTTTGGTCTAGAGCCTGGCGGGGAGGGAGACGGCCCTCTGCTGGGAGCGAGCCACCTCTTGGGGCAGCCGGAGGACGGCTGGGCCTCAGAGTCCCCTGCTGCTGGCGGTGCCCACTCCACTCCATGCGTGTTCCCTTGGGCTCCCCACAGGGGAAGACCGTGCGCAAGGGCCCCCGGGGCCTGGAGGGGACCTACGAGCTCTCCATCTCTGGTTGATGAGCTCCCTAGCCCCGAGGAGCTGCCCGCTCATCAAGTACAGGAGGTCTGGGGGCGGGAACAGGGTGCTGGGCAGGGCTGTGCTCGGGGGAGATGGGCCTGGCCTCCTGTCAGCAATGCTGTTCCAGCCCAAGGGGCCCCGGTCGGGAGGTCAGCAACCCAGTCCAAGGCATGAGCTTGCTGTGGGCCCCATTCTGAGCATGGCCCCTCTCTGGGCTTCCAGAGTGTCCCTCCCCAGACTGACCAGATCCTGCCCAGAGTGAGGGCCAGGTCCCTGGAGGGCTCCTCTCACCGCCCAGCCGGCAGATGGACCTGCCCCCTACACCTTGGTCTCTGCCCAGGGAGCACCTGAAGGCAGATCAGGGTGAGCTTGGTCCCTCCCTTTCGGACAAGCAGGGTCTGTGAACACTTGTCTCCCCCAGTCCCCACCCAGCAGCAGGGCTGGCCTGGTGCTCAGTGTCCACGACGCAGAAAGGTTGAGGCAGAGGGGGCATCGCCCTTTATTGTGAGGTCTGAGCAGCAGGCGCTGGGCCCTGTCTGCAGAGGAAAGGCCAGGACCCCAGTCTGGGCAGATCTTCCAGCCTCTGATGAGCCCATTCTTCGTCCATCCCCTTAACTCCAGGCTGAGCACTAGATCTCTGGGGGCCTGGGAGGCCCCATGATCCACCCCATGTGCTTGGGAGCATTGCAGTCAGGTAGCAGGAGCCAGGGCATCGGGTCACCTGGTGCAGCAGGCCTGAAACTCAGACCCTGGCCCAGCAGCTGCGGAGCCCCAGGTGGAGGTGGCAGTGGTGGCCCCGGCCTCCCTGCCCTCAGACTCCAGGTCCAGGCCCTCGTAGATGGTGGGGAGCGAGGTGCGCTGGCTCAGCCGCCGGCGCAGGCCGACCAGCAGGGGCTGGGGCAGGGAGGCCACGTCCTCGTTGTTGCCCAGGTCCACCCAGGCCAGCGCGGGGAACTTGGTGCTGTCCTTGACGGCCTCGGTGAGCTCTCGGACCGCGGCCCGAGTCAGCCGGTTGCCGTTGAGCAGGAGCTGGGAGAGGCGGGGCAGTGCCCAGAGGCTGGGCAGCAGCAGGTGCAACAGCTGGTCGCTCAGGCCCGTGAAGCTCAGGTCCAGCACAGTGAGCCCGGCGCCCTGGCCGCCCAGGTAGCGCTTTATGTGCTCCACGTCCCGCGTGGACAGCGGGACCCCCGAGAGGTTCATGGTCTCCCCCGCCGGCAGAGTCTTCTGGAGGCTGCTCTTGAGGCTGCGGGAAGGTTGCAAAGGGAGTGGACTGAGCAAGTGCCCATGGCCCAGGCAGGCCCCACTGGTCAAAGACAGTGACCCACTGGGGCAGCCCAGGGCGGTGGGGAAGCCCAGGCCCTGCAGCCCCGCCGAACTGGGACCAAACTGCCGCTCTGAGTGGCTGTGGGCACAGCTCAGACCCTCTCTGCGTTTGCTCCCCTGTGGGGAGAGGGCACCTGGCTGTTGCGAGGGTCAAACCCATACCTGGTAAGGCTCCATGCGCTGCTATAAAAACCCGTGTCCCTGCAGCGCCACAACTGCCACCTTGGCTCACTCGTGTTTATGCCGACCCGGTGGGGCAGGGTGATCATTGCGCTCCACACAGGAGCACGTGGGCGCTCAGAGAGGTGACGAGTCTCCTGCGCTCACACACCACCAAGTGGGGAGCCCGGTCTCCCAACCCCGGTGCGCCCACTCCTGAGCCCACATGGTTTTTTCGCATGCCTCCTCTAAGGTGGATGCTTTGAGGGTCAGGGTAGACATTCCTTAGGGACAGATGAGGGTGACAGGGTATCGAGCGGGTCTCTGGCCTGGGGGCTAGAGAGCGGACAGGCCCAGGGTAGTGAGGAAGGGGCGCTTTCTGTATTCTAAGCTGGAAAGGAAGTTTAGAGACTGGGGAGGTTCCCCCATGACCCTGGAACCCCCTCGCAGCCTCTCCTGTCACTGAGCGTGGCCCACTAGGCAGGCTGGCCGGCCTGGGGGCCGAGGGCACTAGGACCACCCCTGGAACCCCCACCTGCCCATGCTGTGGGCTGCAGGCTCAGCATGAGCTGCCAGGCCCAAGGCGGGGTGGGGGCCCTGGGCCTCTGGCTCTCAGCGCCCACGGCCAGTTCCTGGGCTGTGTGTGGCTGTGGGCTGTGCTGGAGTGGGTGACAGGAGGGTCCCACGGAAGAGCGGGCTATTGGGCCAGCTGTGGACGCCTGAGCTTCAGGCAGCCCGGCACAGAATTCCCAAAAGGATGCGGGAAAATCAGGGCAGGGTGGCCCTGGGCCAGCCACTTTGCCTCTCCAGCCTCATTTCCCTTCCCAGTAAAATGGGAGTCATAACCTAGGATCTGTCTCCCTCACAGCCTGACACCTACAAAGGTCACCTTTGTCCAGGGGGGCCAGGCCCCATGACAGGCCAGCAAGGGAGGCCTCTGAGTGGATGGCAGGAGGCAGACATGAAGCTTGGGGTGGGGGGTGCTGCCATCAGCCAGGCTGGCCTCCGGGGCTGAGGCCTTGATGCAGATGAGGGTGAGGGCCCACAGGGGAGGGTTTCGGCCTCTTTCTGAGAGAAGCCTGGGTACTCCCCTAGGGCTGGCCCTGCCGGTCCCCATCAGCCTGGGAAGGGACCCTCAGCAGTGTGAGGCAAGGCTGTGGCTGGACTCCCCTTACCATCTCGGGGTCTTCTTCGGGGGCAGACTGGGCTCTCTCTGCCGCTTGGAGTGAGGGGTGAGGTGGTAGATGAGCTGCCGGCAAATTTTGTCTGAGGACTTCCAGAGCTCGTGGTCCTGTCGGGGGACAGCGCTGTCAGGCGGAGGCCGAGCCCCCACCCCCCACCCCCTGCGCCCTGGGGGTCCAGGTGTGCAGCAGAGCAGTCATTCATCAGGGATCACTGAGCTGCCCACTGGTCTCCCCTGCCCACCCCCTGCCTGGCCATGGCCTGGCTCAGAGCCAGGAGAGGCTGCCCGCTGGGAGCTGGACAGGCAGGTCTGAGGCCCACAGTGCCCAGCGGGAGGAAGACCGGACAATGGGCCCTTGTTCCCCGTCCTCAGGCCCAGGGCCAGCATCTTGGGCTATCGGCCGGCTGTCTGCCCACCCTCAGCGCTCCCCCGGGACTTGCCACAGGGGAGGCAGGACCAGGCCCCCCAGGGAGCCTCGCCCCACCGACGCCACCCCCGAGAATAGGAGCGAGTCAGGTCAGCACGCTCTTCTTCCTCTCACTCTCCAATCTGGATGGCACCTGTGGGCCTGGGTCTGCGCTGCCAGGACTGGGGGGTGAGCGTGTCGCAGCACCAGCACCTGGCCCTTGCCTGGTCCTCAGTGGGCCCCCGTGGGGGCCTCACTCAGGCAGAAAGCAGGGGCACGCTGCTTCCTCCAGGCTGGCACCAAGCACATTCCACTACCCGTATGTTCTTTATCTAGTCCCTGTTTACAGCGTGCGTACCGTGGCAGCAAGCCCCAGGGGTCACTGTGAAGGCTCTGGGCCGCGTCAGATCCTTGGTGACAACTGCTCATAGGTGTGGGGGTTCCAGAGCTGGCAGGGCCCGTAGTGGCACCCTGGTTTCACGTGGGCTCACTGCGATGAAGGGGTGGGGGCTGGGAGCTGGACGCAGGCTGTGTCAGGAGCACAGCACCTGCCGTGCTCACAGTGGGGTGTCTGCAGGTGCCGCCAGAATGGGGCTCCGGGCAGACAGGGCACAAGGGGGAACGAGGGTGGAGGCTGCTGGAGGCAGACGCCACTCAATAGGAGAAGGGACTTGCTTGTGAGAAGCAATGAGTACTTGTCCCTAAAGGCATCCCTACAGAAATGGGGATGTGTCAATGGGGGAGGGCGGCTCTCTCCTGGCCCAGGAACTGAGGCTGGGAGTCTGGGTCCACCAGGGCATTTGTCAGAGCGTCCTGTGTCCCCATACAACTTCCTGCCTGGGTCTCAGGGCCCACTGCACACACAGTGCTGTCGCTCAGCCAATGGTCTGCCCGGCACAACTCACACTTGCCCCAGTTGTTGGCCAGCTGAATACACCGCAACTGGTAGCAGGTCCCAGAGAGAGGCAATGACTTGCCTAAGGCCTCAAAGCAAGCCAAATGGGGACCCAAGCTCTTCACCCCCAGCCCTGGGCTCTCATGACCCCTGTCCACCAAACTGCCCAGCCTGAGGTCCTTGCCTACTAGCCTCACCGTCTTGGGGCACTGCAGGTCCCGGGCCAAGTTCACAAGGAGGTCGTGGGAGATGGGGTCCACCAGGTTGAGGAAGGCCACATTCCTGTAGAGGATGTCAGTGAGGAGGGTCCCCTCAAGGCCCAGGTCCTGTGGGTGGTGAAGAGTTGAGTGAACCAAGAGCCAGGCCCCTCTTCTCCAGACCTCCCCCCAGGCAGCCAGAGCCCCTCCCGTTCATTGCCCCCTCTCCCTCTCTCTGCCTAGGTTTGCTGGGGTCTCCCCACAGGTGAAAGTGGGCCGATTGTCCAAGGGCAGGTGGATCTTGCAGGTGGGGAGAGGGTCCGTGCAGCAGGGGCCTCAGGGAGGTGAGAAGCAGGTCCCGGCGCCTTAGACTGGTGCCCTGGAACTGAAACACCACGCGGGGCCATCGTGGCCTTCCTGGGATTGGGCTTGTTTGGGGGGTTCTTTGGGGGCTTCTCTGACGACCCTCAAAGGCCACTGCCCCCCTATATTCCATTTGGGCCCTTCTCCTCTTCCACCTATTTCTAAGAGCCCCCCGAGCTCCTGCCACTGTGGGTTTGCCCACAGGTCCGGGCCCTTCCTGTGGGTGTGGACCTCTCCCTCAGCTCAGACTGGGTGTATTCTTGTCTCCTGCCCTGAACCTGGCCCCACCTGTCTTCCGGCTCTGTAAGAGGTGTCGCCACCCCCATCCTCCCAGGGGCCAGGAATCAGTCTGCACTCTCCCTCACCCCTCTCCACCCAGCTCTTCCTCCCTCTGCTTGGGGAGGGTCACACCTCATCCAACAGCCTGCTCCTGGGATGCGTGGCCTCCTGGCCACCTTCCAGTTCCACCCTCAGGCCGTCTGAGTGGCTCTATGACACACCTGCACAGTCTGCAGTCTTAGGACTCTCTGAAGCCTGGCATCTGCCCTCCCTGGCCCACGAACCTCCTTGTCCAGCCTCCAGAACTCTCATCCCTTGCAGAGATCCCACTGTCAGGGCCCCTGGCCTTCCTGTTTTCAGTCCTTGATTCCCTGTTACTCGCACAGTCCCTGTGTGGCATTAAACCACCTATCAGAGGGTCCAGTTAGAGGATATACTGAGAAGCTGATGGGGCAGGCACTGCCAGAAGGGGCCTTTGAAACCCGCGTGGGCTCCCCCAACCCAAGGCAGAGGGTGACATGTTCGATGCATAAGCCCCACTTTGCACAGGAAGACAGGCCAGGTAGGAATGTCCAAAGGCTATGACTGCAAAGTCCCTGGGGGACGTGGGGCAGGACCAGCCTCTCGTTGGGCCTGGAACCCCAACCTCTGGGACATGATGGTGTGACCTAGCTGGTTTCCCACCTATAATGCTCAGCTGGTGCCTTGGGCTCCAGACACCATCCCAGATAGAGATCTGTGCCCCTGGATAGTCAGCTAATTTGCTGCGGCTCTGCTGTTTGCATTTTAAACCCCATTCGGGTTCATGTCACAGATGCCAACTAGGGAGGATCCAAAAGGGAGGGGTGGCTGGTGAGCCCAGGCTGACCTAGACAGGGCCCCAGACCACAGGCTGCTTTCTGCTGGTCTGGACAGCTCCTCTTAAAGGGACAGCCCCATCTTTCCAGCCTGCTGAGCCTAGAGAGGAGGGCAGCAGCAGAAGCAGGGCTGGGAGAATGGAGGTTGAGCTATGGCTTTGGCTGGTCCCCAAACTGCTCTGTGGTCCTTGACACACCACTTTTCTGCAAGCCTCACTTCCCATCTGTAATCATCCACCTGCAAGGACATGCTCCGCTGATTTCAGCTTACAGGATGAGGCAGGCGGTAGGGGTGTGTGCAGAGAGGCAAGTGGCCTGCCTAGTGGAGATGCTGGGACCAGGACCCAGGGGTACAGCAACCCAGGGCTTGGGATCTGGGACTCAGATACCTGGTGTCTGTGGGACCAGAGCCCTGGCCTGTCCAGATGTGGTGTGATGTGCAGATGCCAGGGGTGTGTACTCAAAGGGCGTGAGCACTCAGTGGGTTTGAGCTGCCCCCCAGGATCCAGTGCTTCCCCTCACCCTAGAGGAAGGGAGGGCAGAGGGCTTCCCACTGCCCCTCAGCACAAGATGCCCACACTTGCCACTCCTCCCAGCAACCTTTCCTGCCAAGGCCTGAACCCAGGCTCTTACCTCCTCCTAGCTTGGAGCACCCTCCACACACAACTGACTGCAAACCCCGGAGGCACAACCACTCAGCTGCCCTCCCCTCCACACTCACAGTTCTCCCGGCTTCAGTGGCCTTCGCTCTAGCCTGCTGCCCTCCCTCCCTCCCTCCCTCGCCTTCTCTCTCGCACAGACCAGACTCCCACCCGGGCAGCCAGTGGTACCCTCCCCTCGGATCCCGCCAGGCCAGCGCGCCCTTCCATCAGCAGCCAGGCCTGCCTCCCGGCCCCTTCAAGGCCCGCTGCCCGCTGCCCACAGCCCGGGGCCCCTCCCTAGCCTCCAGCTCGGGCGGGCCCTCTCCTCTCGCCTGGCGCAGGAGGCGCAGCAGCTGCCGGGCGCGCTCGGGCTGCTGCTCACGGAGCATGGTCTGGATCTCGCGGAGCCAGCGCACCCGGCGCTCATAGGGCGCGGGCCCGCACCCCGCCGCCGCCCCGGCCTCCGAGCCAGCTACGGGTCCGCACCGCCTGCCCAGCCGCGCCCCCATGGCCACGGCGCGGCTGGCGCTCAGTGGGCGGGAGGCCGGACGGTCTGAGCCACGCCCCCGGCCCCCGCCCTGGGCCCGCTCCGGCCCCTCCCCCAGCCAGAGATGCGCGGGGTGGGAAACGCATCCCTGCCGGGCCACAGCCCTGGAAAGGAGGGCGTGGGGGCTTCTGCTGGGGCCCCAGAGCTCCCAAGTACTTGGTTTGGGGGATCTTGCTGGAAGAGAGTCCCTCGCCCGTGCTACACTGGGCTCTGGAGCTCTGTCCTGCCCGGGGCAGTCGCTGAGCCCAGCCAGGACGAGGTGGCGCTTGGCGCCTCTAACCCTTCTGGCCCGGGCACTGACTGTGGAACAGTGGCTTTGGCGGTGCAAAGAGCACTGGACTTCGAGCGGGGGTGGGGTGGGTGAGGGTTCCACTGAACGTTTGCCAGCTTCAGGCAGTGCCAGGACACGCTTTCAGGAATCACCCCAGGAGAGGGCAATCGTAGTATCTGACCGGAAAAGCCCTACAATGACAACTATCTACTGCCCCTCCCTGCTTGGTTGGGGACAGGCTGGGCAGTTAGGGTGGAGCCGGCCCCCTCTGACCCGGGCCTCTGACCTCAGACCTGGGAGATAAACTGGATGAGGAATGCTGGTTAATGGTTAAGCCCAGCTCTGCTCGGGGCAGGCAATCGGCACCTGCTCCGGCCTTCGGGTTTTCCTGCCTGAGAAGAGCTGGGTGGGCAGTGTGAGAAGAGAGAGCCCTGGCTCCTCCAGGACCAGGCTTGAAGTAGGGACCTGCCCATCTCAAGCAGTGTTCCCAGCTCTGGGCCTCTCACATTCCTTGGGTAGAAAGCATTTGGGGCACTAGGCTCCATCCCCCAACTGCCACAGCAAGAAGGTCATGTCCAGCCTGGGAGGTTAGTGTGTGTGGATACAGGTGCAGAAAGGGTGCTGGGGAGGTGAGGGGAGAATGTCCAAGGGCACATGGTAAGATGAGGGCAGAGCCAGGCTTCTTCCATTAGATGGAGCACTGCCTGCCCCAGGCTGTGTTTGGGGACTGGGCGTTGGGCTGTGCAGTCCCCTGGGGCTGGTCCCCCGGGGCTGAGCCCCTGAGACAGGCAGTGTCCTCACCCCCTGAGCACTCACTGAACCTCCACCCCTAGCGTGGCCTGCTGGGGCACCCCCATTGGACATGTTCCCGGGGCCTCTCTATCCTGGGCTCTCCCCTGTCCTGGCAACTTCTGGCTGGACTCAGGGGCCTCCACTCCCGCGTCCAGGACCAGCGCTGTCCTGGGGCCACCTTGGCACCACAGGTTTCCTCTCTGGCAAACCTGCATAACTTCCCGGACTGCCTTCCCTCAGAGCTGTCTCTAAACTGACGTGGTGGTGACAGAGACTCAAGCAGCGGCCCCAGAGCCCCAGGGGCCTCTCGGACGCCCCGTCCAGAGCTGGCGGCTTGGTAAGACACCCCCTCCCTCCCCCACACACTCGGGCCGAGCCAGCGCTGGGATGACTCCCAAATCCTGATCTTATACTTCCAGAGGTTGAGCCAGGCCAGGATATTGTCACCTCACAAGTGAGGAGGCTGAGGTGGGGCTGTGGGGTGAGGGGAAGGAGGGGCAAGCCTCACGTCATGAAAGGGGCTAACCAGGCAGTGGCATGGGGAGTGCCCCGAAAGTAGAGTCCAGTGGAGCCTAGCCCTCACCCCCAATCCCACCCTCTGCGTCCCCAGCTGGGAGCATCGTGGAGGACATTTTTCCAGGAAAGGAGAGAGGCTGGTCTGGACGGGGTTCTCTCAGCCTTCTACTGGAGGTGCTTAAATTGGCCGGGCTCCTGGGCACTCTTTCTGGACTAACCTGACTGGGGCAGGAGGTCCCAGAGCCAGAGCCGCCACAGGAGTGGAGGTGTCATTCTCCCCGGCTAGTCCTCATGTGTCCCTGTCTAAAGGCTGCGGGCCCCGCCCCCCGGAGTCATCCTGAGTAGCAGAGCTGTGCTTGCGGCGACCCCATGGGGCACAAGGTCGAGAATCTGCCCTCTTGGCCCTCAGGGCTGATGTGGAGGTTCAGGGGCTTATAACAGGCCTCGTGGAGTGGCCCCGGCTGCTGGACAGCCGCTGGGGCAGAGACTGGAAAAGCAGAGCTGAGGGGGAAGTAGCCAGACCCCAACCCTTTTTGGGGCAACCACAAGGTAAGTGGGGGGCCGCCACACCTTTGGCTTCCCAAACCCTTGGCCACCCATGTGGTAGCCCAGAGGGAGTGACGGGAAACCAAGGTCCAGATGACTCAGCAGGTTGGGCGACAGGCTGTGGCTGTGACTAGAACTAGACCTTTGAGCTGCTTCTCTGTCCACTTGGGGGATAGCCTGCGGTTGAGGGTACTTCAGCAAGTAGCCAGATGACACTGAGTCTCTTGGCAGCCCCTGCCGAGAAGAACGCAGGGTGGTCTGGGGCTCACGAGCAGGAGGGACGCTCTGTGGACGCGGCGTCTCCAGGAGCCAGCTCTGCAGGGCCGGGAAGTCGGGCTCCGGCAGGACCCGGGTCTGAACCCCCTGCATCTGCTACCCGTGGGGCGTGCAAACCTGGGCAAGTGGGTGGCGGTGTTAGTTTTCTGTGGCCGTCATAATACATGACCACAAACTGGATCGCTGACGACAATAGAAATTGGTTCTGTCAGTGTCCTGGAGGCTGGAAGTCTGGAATCGAGGCGTTGGCAGGGCCACGCCCTCTCCGAAGGCACCAGGAAAGGATCCCTCTGTCCTTTTTTTGCTGGCAGTTCTTGACTTTCCTCGACTTGCACCTGCATCACCCCTCCTCCAGCATCCTTCCCTCTGAGTCTGTCTTTTTTCACACGGTCTTCTCAGAGACACCAGTCATTGAATTTAGAGCTGCACCCTAATCCCATATGACATCACCTTAAGTAACGGCATCTGCAAAGGCTCTATTTCTAAATGAAGTCATGTTCTGAGCTCCTGGGTGGACACCAATTAGGGCAGACAGTATTCACCCTCTGCCAACCTCAGTTTCCTCATCTGTAAATGGGGGAAATAGATGTCCACCTGGCAAAGGCATGGTAGGGTCAGACAGAACAAGGAACGGGTCTGGCGCACAGCGGTGCCGGGTCGCTGTGCCTGCTCTCTTTGCCAATGACTCTCCCGTGGCTCTGTCCCAAATCCACCAGGCCACCCGAAGCCATCACTCCTCCTTTCAGTGACGATCGCTGGGCACTGTGGGTGCTGCGCAGACTGAGGCAGACACACCAGGTCACACAAACAGCTGCGCACAGAGGCGGGAGCTTCTCCACACAGCAGGAGCCCAGAAAGGCACCTGACCTGGGGGTGGAGGAGGGCTTCTATTGGAGGTGACGCTGAGGCTGGATGTGAAAGAAGAAGGCTGGCGTGAAGTCCCAGCAGGACAGCGCACAGAGGGAGGGGTGGAGTCCCAGCAAGGCCAGGATGTACCCGAACCAAAGCTGGACTTTGAAGGGATTTCAGTGGGGGAGGGACATGTTCAGCTAAGCAGGCTGAGCCCTGGAGCTGCAATAGGGAAACTGGGGGGCTGCAGGAAGGGCTGGGGACCCTGGCAAGGAGTTGCCAGGTGGGAGGGGGTGGGCCAAGGGGAGATAGGGAGAAGCTCAAATATGGCCCCGAGTGGGTGGAGAGGCAGGGGCCACGGGCTGGGAGGAGTGAGGATGTAGGGGCATTCTAGGCTAGACTCTGGCTAAAGTGGCCAGGGCGGGACGGCCTGGGCAGGTTAGCGGCTTAGCTCAGGCTTGGGCATGTCCATCTGAGACATCTGGAATCCCTGGCAACAGGACGTTTGATCAGGACTTAGCTAGAGAGTCACCGAGTCCAGCTTTGCAGAGGTGAAAGAGGCCAAAGAGGTGAGGGAAAAAGGGGGCCTGTGTAAGAAATACCCAAACCTATAAGAATGTTTATGACTGTATTTGAGCCAAACTGATGACAATGGCCAGCAAGCAAGGTCTGGATGGACTTCAGCAGTTTTACCGCTTACTTTGTGCCTCAGAATCAAGGGGGAGACGTAAGGAGTTTACATGAAACTCACCAGGGTGGGTTCAGGAGGCGGGAGAAAGGCAAGCAGGGGTGGGGGTGTGTGGGGTGGGGGGAAATCTCTGGGGCTGGATAAAAAGTAAAAGGAATATACACATACTCCTTTGTCACAGGTGGGCACGGGATAGCTAACAGTTCGTAACAGCTATGAGGGTCTGTGGTCTCTAGCCCCCGTGGGAGACTGTGCCCTGAGGGTCTGGAAGAAGGAAACAGCCCGGACAGCCCTTTGTGCTACCCTAGAGGCACAAAGACAACGGACAGACTTGGTTAATGTGAAGATGGGCCTTGGTGGAGAAAGATGCCAGACCAGGACATACCCATCCACCGTGACTTGATTCTAGTTAGAAAGTTAATTTCAGACCATTCCGTGTGGTTACTCTGGGCCTTTGAGTTTGTAAGTCCCCCACGCAGACCTGCCCTGAGCTTGTCAGGGTGAGTATGGGGCCGCTTTTTCATCTTCAAGGGCGTGGGGTCGTCCAGGCAGGCTGAGCAGGGTGTGCGTGGGAAACGTGAGGCAGTTTAGTCATCAGTGGAACTGCACATCCACTTGCCCGGCCAGGGTCAGGGGAGGTAGGAGCTGGGGTGAGGTGACAAGTTTGCTTGGGTGTGGGACCCTCGAGGCCATGGCCATGAAGACGAGACTGCTTGGCTCTCAGGGAGTCCAGGCGGTGAGCACGGGTGGGGTCTTGGGTGTGGAAGGGACCCAGACGTCTTCCCCCAAGCCCTGCAGGTCCCAGACACCACAGAAGATGACAGGGTTACTGGATAAACACTACCTGTGCAGGGTCTGTGGGCAGGAAGAGCCGGGCGGCCAGGAGGGGGGCACTTTTGGCCTCTAAGCCCTGAGCTGCTTGTCAGGCAGGGACGCAGGCAGCTGCAGGCTGGGGTGTCAGGGCCTGGGAGGTGGCATTCCCTTCCTGCGAGCTGCCTCAGCGCATCTGCAGGTAGCAAAGCAGCGCCAGGGGTCACACGGCTGGTGTCACACGAGACCTTGGTTCAGCAACCCGGGGACTTGAGTTCTGGCTAGGACAGAATTCAGAGTTGAGACTCTCTAAGAGGAAGTTTGTTTTTAGAAAGTCACAGAGCTAGAAGAAGTGAGCCATAGAAGTGGGTTCAGGAAAAAAGTTACAGAGGTGAAGGAAGGGCTCTCGGGGTTTAGGAGAGAGGACAGGGGAAGAAGGTGGGGAAAGGCCAGGGCCTGGTGCTGGGGCCTCCCGTGCGGGGCCTTTATCTGGAGGCCTCCGGGGAGGATCCCAGTAGAATCTTCATCACCTTCTCAGGTGTGTCCTCTCAGGGTCATGGCCTCTACTCATGGGTGCCTGGGCAGGGCAGCGGGGGGTAGGTGAGTGTTTGTCACTGCAGCTCATCCCGATCTCAGCCATGGCCTCACTTGGCTGGTTTTGCTGCTTTTCTGGGCCTGGAGCAAACACACAGCTGAAGCCTAGATGTTGTCTCTAGGACTTAATGCCGAGGGGAGTGGTGGCGCGAGGGCCTGCCCGCGAGTCCCAGTGGCCACTCTTCAGCTCTTTGTCCCTCCTCGGAGTGGGCCTGCTGCATGACTCGTGACGTGCCAGGGCAGGGAAGGTCAGGGGAGGGTCCAAACTGCATGGCCAGCTGTGTGAAAGGTTGGGGGAGCTGACCCGAATGACCAGCAATATTCTGGGAGGAAGGCCCCTGGGGGCGAGGTCCTTGCTTCCCGAGTTTTGCCCATCGCCAGGCACCCAGGGATTTCCGCCCTGCTGACTTTCTGGATCTGGCTCGTCATCCCCGTTCTGCCCACGTCTCTCAGTCTAACTGCCTTCCACACATGCCCCCAACGGCTGTTTCAATTATCCCTGCTCTCCAGCCCAAAAACTGAGGCAGAAAGAAGAGACACTGGGCCATCGGTGGCTAGGGGTGAGTTTGAGCCCAGTCACTTCAGAGCCCATGCCCTTGGTCATGCTGTTGTCCTTCCTCTGCGTTTGGAATTTGGACTGAGTCCATCAAGTGCCAGACTGGCCCTGCTGCTGGCCGTTCCCAGGTATTAACAAGCTGGTATCTCTGGCCAAGCTCCAGCCTCTATCCTCACATCAAAGGTGGGTGCCGGAAATGGCTCCAGGGGGTGGTGGCCAGGCTCTGCGGGTACGGGGACTCTGACCGTACCTACGGTTGGCCAGAGCTCACCTCCCGGCCACCACTGGGCAACCCCACCCTAAGCTGGAGTCTTCCTTCCATCCTTTCGTGTGGTCTGCAGGACTCTCACAAGCAGTGGCCGAGTAGCCACAGGGTGGCCCCTACCTCTCTGTCCTGTGACCTCAGCCAGTGGCGGGCAGGCCCTCTGAAGCAGGCCGATTCGCAACAACTGCAGAAAGCATTGGAAGGAGGCAAATTGGGGCCTGATACTGGGAAGAACTTGCCAACCAACCAACCGGCCTCACTGTCTTTAGAGGCAGTGTGTTCCCGGTCGGGGCAGGTGTGAGAGGTGGACGGAAGTGCTGGAGGTGGGAGGTCGGAGACTAAACCTTTGAGGTTCTGTGATCCTAAAGTTAAGATGCTGCGATGCTTGGATTTGCAGCCACTTTTGTTCAGCCAGTCCTCCAAATGTCTCCTTGGTGCAGGTACCAGGAGACACAAAACGTGCTGGGCAATATCAGGTATCCTGGCTTCTGGAAAGTTCTGAAACCCTGTCCCAGCGGTTCTGGGGGCTGAAGCAGGCCCTGCGTGCATCTCGATCAGAGCTGCCCATCTGGCCCGCTCCCTGTCAGGCTCCTGACCGCATTTGGGGAGATCGTGTCTCTACCGGCTGGGGTCCACCCGGGGCATGAAGTTCACCGGGCACTTCCTGGAACTCGGGCACGGCCGTTCCCAGGGCCCGGCTGGCAGCAGGGCACGGCAGGACAGAGGCTGCAGGCTCGGGGCCTTCTCCCTGTCATGGGTCACTGCCCTGCTTTGAGCAAATCCCTCGTCCTCTCGGGCTGCAGTTTCCTGGTGCTGGGAGTGCCCTTCTTCCTCCCCTAGTTCCTTGTGTGCCTGGGCACAGAGGGGCGGCAGATCCAAGCCTGCAGAACAGGGATGGCCTTGGAGGCCGCTGTGGGCCCATTTCTCAGAGCAGGGAGTGGGCCAAGTGCCCACCTGAGCCTCCTGTCCAGCCAAGGCCCCTGAGGCATTCTAAGTGGCTGGTGCCAGCCCCCCAGGGGTGATTAGAAGGTGAAAGGCACCTGGATAGTGGGGTGGCACCCCTCATATGGCCTGGACAGCTGCCCCTGGCTGGAGGCCAGTTTGGCTCAGGAAAGATCTTCAAAGAACAAGAACACGGAGAGCCCCGCTCTGCTAGCGGCTAGTCCCCAGCCAACGCCCCCATCAACACTCCCTCCTTTCCTGAGCCCCTGCCCTCTGCAGGGCCGCAGAGGAGCTGGTGGTCACCCGCCAGGGTCTTAATGAGTGAGCTGGGGTTAATGGGTTACCCAGCCCCGTGACACATTCACTAGCCTCCCTGGGCTCCAGACGCCTCCAAGGTCTGTGCTCAGCCACCTCCCTTTCTAGCCTTGACACCTCCGGGCTCGGGAAGGGCCCGAGGAAGTCAGGAGCCTCCCTCACACTCTCACCGCTCCCGGAGGCACGCCGGCACCTGGCCTCCAGCCTCCAGTCACTCTCTCCATCTGCTGTCCCGGCCTGGACTCTCCAACCCACGAGCTCTGCCTCTTCCTTAGGGCCCTGGGGTCTCCCTCCTTCTTGGCTGACCATACTATTCCATCTGCAGTCTGGCTGGGGGCTCCTTGAGAGAAGAGTCTGGATGGGCCAGTATTAGATGAATGAAGGAATAGATGAAGAATGAATGAATTTAAGGCAGGGCTGTGCTAATGGTGGCCATTCTGGCCAGCAGCAGGCCACGCATGGACCTCAGAGGCACAGGCAGCCTTAGGCCAGCCAGCCCTGTGGGGGCACCCGCCCTGTGTCAGCTGGTGGGCGGCAGCAGGTGTGGGGATGAATGGTAGCCCATCTGTCCCCCACTGCCTCATGGCCACCATCAGTCTGCCTTTATGACCCCAGAAAGCTGGAGGATAAGGAAAGGCTCTCCCAGGTCATGTGACTCTCTTCAGTCCAAGTGACCATGGTCCTTGGAGTGACAGCTTCTAGACACTCCACCTGCAGCCCCAAGGGTCAGGGAGAGGGTGCTCTTAGAGGTGCCACCCCTCCCCCAAAGCTGTGGAGAGAATCTCAGGCTCCTCAGCCTTTTACTCCCAGTGCCCCCTGGTGTGGGCCGCCTGGCCGTGCCCCAGTGTCGTATGACCCCTCTCTGGACGTCCTGTGTTGGGGAGGAGCTCACCTCCTCCCAAGAAACCCTCGGTCTGACCTGCCTCTGCTGGAAACCCAGACTCACTCAGCCCAAAGTTCAGGTCTGTCATTCAGGGTTTGGGACTCCACTGTGCTCAGAGAGGCCAGCAGCTGTGCTGGGTCACACAGCCACAGGGACAGGACCAGGAGCGAGCCTTCTTCCCACCTGGACAGGTTCCTGTACCTTTAAAGCCTTCCCCCACCCCAGGCCAGCACGGGGAGGAGGGGAGGAGCTGGGTCACAGCTGGGCCCTGGGACTCAGTCCTGTGCCGGAGTACAGCGGAGGACCAGCCCTGGAGCCAGGTGAGCTGCGATGGAATGGGCTCTGGCTGTACCCTAGCGCTGTGCTACCCCAAAGCATAGCTCACCCTCTCTGAGCTGCTGGACACTGACAGTGAGGGGAGCTTGGGCCTGGGGCCTCCCGAGAGCACCCGGAGGCCTGGGTTCCAGCCCCAGCTCTGCCACGTGCTGGCCGTGCCATGGAGCAGCTCCTCTTCTGCTCCCAACCTCAGTTTAAGCTTGTGCGTGATGGGAGCCGCTGCCCTTCCGGGGGACAGGGGCAGGGCTTCCGCGAACGCATGGGCAGAGGGGTCCACGGTGGGCAGAGCCCTCGGCTGTTTGTCTGACAGGGTCTGGGCTGGGAGCCTGTTGCTTGTCTGGTGAGCGGGTTTGAGACTGCCTATCCGAGCTTTCCGGCCCGCTCCGCCACAGGTGTGGGTGGAGGAGGGCTGGGTGGGGCCACCTGACTGCTCCAAAGCCTTTGAAGAGGCTTTGAAGAAACCACAGCGCCCAGGAAGTCGGCTTCTCAGAGTTAAGAGGGAGGAGGGCATCATGGAGAAACTGAGGCCCAGAAGGATCTGGGAGCCCGGAGTGAGGCAGTCGCTGTGGGGAGGGGGTCCGGTGACGTGTTCTTGGGCTGTGCTCGCCCCTCTGGGGCTGTGGTTTGTGGGAGTGGAGCCGGGTGGGTTGTGCCAGGGTCACCGCTTTTGGCCATCTCACATACAGGTAGGTAGTGATTCTGGCAGGTGGTGATTACCGATTCCTGGGGAAGATCCCTTCATCTGATTCTCAGCCTTACCCCACCAGGGTGGGCAGCAGGCGAAAGCGACCCCAACTCTGACAAGCTTCCCTCCCTGGGCTGTGGACAGAGCCAAGCAAGCCACTGAGGGCCGGGTCCTCTCTCATACCTGAGGTAGGTGACTCCCTGCTGCGGGCTGGCTGCGGTAGGGCAAGCAGGGTGGGTCCCGGGTCCAGGTCTGGGCTCTGGGGGCCATCTGACCTGGGGCGGGTTATGTCTACCCAAGCCTCTGTTTCCTGCTCACGAGTGGGTTTGGGGCTGTGGCCTAATTCCAACCCTGTGGCTCTGGGGTTGTGAAGACATAGCCATTAGTCTGGGTTGGAGTATTAACAGAGAAACTCCAAGCTGGCTGCTCCGTCTTCCTCTTCCTCATGCTCCTGTCTGCTGTGTCCTGGAAACTCGCTTGGCTCAGCCTAGATTCAGCTTGGGGCAGTGGGTGTAGGAGGCTGCTAGCGGCAGAGTTAGTTTCTTTGGGGGAGTGAGACTTGCACACTCCTGGGGATGGGGAGCTCACCACTTTTTGTGCCTAGGACGGGAGGCACAGGGTCTGGAGGAGACCTGCCGCCCGGCCCCTGAGGCCTCACCAGGGATCACACGGTTTCCCCAGACCCATTGCCCCCAGACCCCCACTCTGTACGTAGGGGAGGCTGACCGGGACAGCATATGACGTACTCAGCATGTGAGAAAGGACCTTCTGTGTTCCGTTACGCTTCTGTTAACATGGCTTGTGATGAGCCGCCTTCCCTCTCACCCCCACCCCCACCCCTCGCACCTGCAGCTGCTGCTGGGCACAGATGACTGTGCCTCGTGGCCGGCAGCTCTATGTGCCCAGGGTTTCCCTGTTGGGGTTACCTGTGGGGGCTGGGCCATCCTCTGCCCATGCAGATGTTCTTCTTCTCTTCCTGCTGCTTCTGCTACTGCTGTGTCTCCTGCCGCCCCAGGCAGGGAGAAAATTGCTGAGCCAGCTCAGGGCAGGGGCAGAACCCCGTGGTCTCCACTGCAGACCCGCCCCAGCTGACTGCCCTGCAATGCAGCCACTCGTAGGGAGGGCCAAATCCCCTATGTTCCTGGCTGGTGTCCAGCCCTTGGGGATAGGTCCTGGGCCTTTTCCCAGTGACTCTGGTCTGCGTCGGGGTGATGGCCAGGCAAACCGCTTGGCTTCAGCATCTCTGGCCTGCTCAAGGGCGTCAGGTGACAGAACAAGGTCTGTTTTGGCTGCACGGTCCAGGGCAAGCAGCACTATCTGCTCAGCCGCATTCTCTCCTGCCTGTCGGGTGGCGCAGCCTTGCAGGGTGGCTGTGGATTCGTTGCGAGAGACGGGGCTCTGGGGGCTGCCAAGCAGCTTAGACACAAGTGGCCAGGGAGCTGGGTGGGAGCCATGACTCAGGACTTGGCAGACGCTTGACCTTGCCCTTAGCAGATAAGAGCCTGGGGGAGTGGGGAGTGGTGTCCAAGGTCCTCCGGGCCGGGCCAGAGCCGATGCTGACCTCCTCGGTGGGCTGGTCGGGGACACTCAGCAGCTGGGGGGCAGGTGCGGGGTGGCCAGGCCTGCACTGCCGGGCCCTCCCCGGGGAGCCGCCTTTCCGGGCCGTTCGGGTGCTTCCCCGACCCCGAGGCAGCAGTGCTGCTGGTCAGGCGGTGGGACCGGTTCTGGCCCGAGGCCCCAGGCTGTGCTTTCGAGAGGAACCCTTGGCACCGGGCCAAGGGTTGTGGGTTGTGGCGAGGCCTCTCCAGCCTGGTGCAGGTGGCTCTCCTGCTGCGCTGCCTCGGGGACCGTCTCTGGGGTGCCCGGCACAGGGATGGGGCTCCCCAGCAGGGGAGCCAGCCTGGGGCTCTGGGTCGAAGGGTCTGAGTCCCGGAGAGGGAACCCCTGCCTCTGTCACCACACCTGTCCTTCCCCGTCAGGTGACACCCTCACCTGCCGCCACTGTCATGGGGACTCCAAGAGGCACGCTCTCATGTCACAGCACCTTCCAGGTCCTTGTGAACTTTAGTCACCCGGTGAGCGGCCAAGTCACTGTGCCTCCTTGCTGGCTATACGTCCGACTGCCCCACCCTACTCAAATGCTTCAGCCACCCACGGGGGTGCAGGGCGCTCCCTGGTTGGCCTCTAGCCCCTTCGGGGACTAGGTGAGCATGCGAGTTCCTCCAGTCCCTACCCTCCCCCACCCCGCTCTGCTCCTCCTTGGAGAAGCCCATCCCCAGATCTCAGTCCCAGCTCCAAGGCCCCCCTGAACTACTCTGCAGGGGCTGGGGGCGTGGCTTCGACTCCTGAGGTCCCTCAGGCCTCCCAGCCCAGCCGCCTCCCCTGGGAGTGGGAAGGCAGCCTCAATGTGGCTGAGACTTTCCCAGGCAGATAAATCTGCCTCTTTCTCCCCTGCTGTGCCCCAACCCAGAGCTGTCTGCGGAGGGACAGGAGCTTTTCTGGGCCCCAGATTCCCCTGGGCCTCAGGTAAGCCTGCCAGGGTTGTGAGGAGCTGGGCTGGGGTTTGAGGCTATAGGTGCTGTGCCCGATCCACTGTCTGGCCTTGGTTTCCCCTCCTGATACTGACATGTGGGAACCGGGCCTTTGGGCTTGGACATTGTTTATGGAGTCTTCGAGAAAAACATGGGGCGGGGGAGTGGGGAGGGGAAGCCTGGGTCTCCCAGCAGGGTGTCTTCCTAGAGGCAGGATTTGTCTGCCTGTCGGAGGCTGAGCCAGCCTCCCTGCCGCCTGCCCGGGGAGGAGGGGATGCAGGGCAGCGCTGCTCACACCCTCCCCACACACCCTGGAGGTCTAAGCCTCTCTGGGTACCCCTGCCCCTTGGGAAGCCCACTTGGGCTCTTGGGTGGGTGGATGGACAGGGGAGGCTGGAGTGTGGACTTTGGAAGTCATGGCTTGCTCAGTGCAGGGGCCTGAGGAGAGAGAGAAAGGCCCTGAGGGGCCTCGGAGCCAATGGCTCCAATCCCTGGAGAAGGGACACCAAGCCCCCAAAGTCCCCAGCATGGCCTGTGCCAGTGGAGGGTCCCTGTCCCACCCAGTCCTGCCCCACTACACGGGATGGGAAAGCCCTGTGTCCCCAACAGATGCTGCCGGTCAGCCCCCGAGGCCCCCAGACCTGCCAGCACAGCTGTCTCTGCCAGGAGGCCCCCGACCAGGACCCAGGGTGTGTCCTGAGGGCTGCCAGGTCCCTCAGAGGCTAAGGGCAGAGCGCAAGGACTGTGTCTGGGGACACCCGCGAGGGGCAGGGCCTGCTTGGCACTTTAGAGCCCAATGCCAGCTTTTAGGAGGACCGAAGAACAGGAGATGCTGGCAGGGGTGGGGGGTGCGCTGTGGTATCCAGCCAGAAACCATGGTGCCCAGATTCTGTCAAGGTGGAGCCGAGGGCCTGGCTGGAATCCCACTGGGGATGTGGGGCGGCGAGCAGCCTGCTGTGTGGCTGCCCTCTGAGCCGGGGGAGGAGAAAGCCCTTCCACACTGGTGTCTGGACGCCCCCCACATGGGGTCGGGGCTCCATTTCTAAACTATCTCAGGGTCACCACCTCTGGGCCTGGCGTTCAGACCCTCGGAATAAGGGCAGGGTGAGCCGGACGGGTGCCAGCTCACTGACAGGTACCCGCCCTTTGGAGGGAACTGCTTCTGGGGGCAGGAGAACCGGTACCTCTGACACCTTCCCCCTCCTTCCCTGGTGGGGTCATGCCCCCCACCTGCTGCCACTATCAGGGGGACCTCAAAAGTAACTGCTGTCACTCTCAGCTCAGCCTGGAGGGAAGTCAACGGGGCAAAATTGAGGAAGAGGCTGAGCGTCTTCTCGGTTGCCCTCTAAACCTCCAGGTCCCCCTCCCCGCACACCCCCACCAGCGTAGCCCAGCGTGGCCAGCACTGACCTAACTTCTCACACTTTCCAACCCACTTAATTGTCACAACACCTCAAGCAGAGTGCCTCTGTCATTTTCACGGGACAGTTTGTTGGTGACTTGCCCAAGGTCCCACAGCAGCAAGAGGCAAGTCCAGGCTCAGAGGGAGCAGGTGGGCCCCAGGATCCATTCCGCTCCCACCCCCTGCCCTGGCTGGTCACTACCTGGTCACATGACACACCCACCACCCCACAGGCCTCGTACAGGAGTGCCCCCGCCGCTCCCTGCTTCACTCTGTGCAAACCCCTGGCAGCCTTGCCCAGCAGAAGGAATGCTGGGAGAATTCATGCCAACGTGTGAGCAGCTCACAGCCTCCTCTTTGACTTCAGAGCTCATCTGGAGGCAGAGAAGCCTCGCAGAGCTCCCTGGGAAGGGCTGGGCCGGCTTCCGGTTTACCCTCACCTACACGGTTGGGACATCTCTCTGGAGCAGAGTCGGTGGTGCAGCCTCCTGCAGTGGGGGAGAGAGAGAGAGACTTCCCTCATTCCCCGGTCATTCCACCAGCTGTTTTAGCCAAACTCGCCCGCTTTTGCGGCCACCTCCACAGGCGAGGCTCAGGGCTTCCATCCGTTGAGGAGGGTAGGCCTGCGCTCTGTGGCGGCCGACCTGACGATCTCAGCAGACTTCAGGTGTCCCCTTCAGGGGCACGACGGAAGCTGAACCCCATATTCTGCGGAAGGCCACTCTGGGGGACCCATGGACAGTGCTGGGCTCTGAGATGAGGTGTGGACATAGGAAAAAGCAGGCCAGAGTTGTCCCTCCTAGAACAACCTACTGGCAGTAGAGGGCTGGGCCCCTGGAAAGGAGCAGACAAGGCACCACGGAAGCAGGTTCGTGTAAAATCTTGGCGCTCCCAGGAATGGTTCCCACCGGAGAGGCGGTTCTCACCAGGCCGGGGCCCTGCAGAGAGGCAGGGAAGGTACGGGCGGGCAGAGCTGGGGCCAGGAGCTCCTGGAGCTCCTGGCAGAGCGACCTGCCCCACACGTGTTCTGGGCGGTAGGCAGGGAGGAAACGCAGGGACACTTCTGAGCCTTGACTTTGGGCTGCGCACTGCGGGGGTGGGGGTCAGGATGTGCCCAAGGCCAGGCCAGCGTGGCTCCCTGACCCTGCTCCCCGCCCCCTCTGTGCGCCCACAGAACCATGAAGAAGCGTTTCGTGGCGGTGGCCTTGGCAGCTATCGTCCTGGTGCTCGTCATCGTCGGCCTCTCCCTCTGGCTGTCCGACACCTCCAGTCCGTCCAGCCACGTGTACCCCAGGGCGGCCGTGGCCACAGACGCCAGACTCTGCTCGGAGATTGGGAGGTGAGTGGGGCAGGAGGTGGGGACAGCCCGAGAGGACAGCCACTGGAAGTGGGCCTGAGCAAGACCCTTGCCCCTCTGAGACTCAGGTTCCCCACCTGTAAATGGGCCGCCTGGGCAAGGGGCAGTCTCTCTGCACCTTCATGGCAGCCTCTGGTCAGGGAAGAAGGGGGCGCTGACCCCAAGAGCAGGACAGAGGCCTCCCGTGCTCAGCTGGGCCTTTTCTCTGCGCTGAGGGTGTTCATTTCTCCAGCTAAACTCTGCTACATGATACCATTTTCAACTCCCGTCTCATGGTATACGTGAAGATCGGTTTCCACTGAAAGACTTAAACAGAAAAAATGTAATTAATGATGAAATGTTACTAACGTAACAATTTTTAATCATAAAAATTATGTACATTTGTTTGCTTAATAAGGAGGGAAATACAAGCCCACCAGTTTTAGAATTACATTTAAAAAAAAAAGCTCCTGCGGACTTCTTTTCAGTCCCTGTGGGTGGGACACGGGGCGGACGGCTGGCGGGGGCTGGGGTCCACAGGCTCTCAGCCTCACCGGCGTGCCGTGGGCAGGGACGCGCTGCAGGAGGGCGGCTCAGCCGTGGACGCTGCCATTGCGGCCCTGCTGTGCGTGGGGCTCGTGAATGCGCACAGCATGGGCATCGGGGGCGGCCTGTTCCTCACCATCTACAACAGCACCACGCGTGAGTGCCCGCGGGAGCAGGCGGGGGCAGGGGGGCCAGGGTGTCTGCCTCCTCTTGGACTAGGGCTGGGGGGGCACGGTCAGGTGTCCCCTGGGTCCTGACGGCCCACCTGCTTCTCCTTCCAGGCAAAGCTGAGGTCATCAACGCACGGGAGGTGGCCCCTGAACTGGCCTCCTCGGACATGTTCAATAGCTCGGAGCAGTCACAGCAAGGTAAGGGGCGGGGCAGGGGATGAGCGTGAAGGTTTAACACGTCCCTGTGGGTCCAGGGACAGCTCTGGCAGCCACCAACGCCCAGCCCCGTGACATCCTCCAAACTGAAGGGTCGGGACCACCCCCGTGGAGAGTGAAAGGGCAGAGCTTCTGCTATTTCTGCTCAGGCCTCTCCAGGGCCTCCTTGCACCAGTACAGGGAGGATAATTACCGTTGCAGCAGCTTGCCATCCCAGGGGGCCCTGGGGCCAGCACTCCGCTCAGCCCTTCCCCCTGACGAGGCCCCGGACCCTCCCTGTGTGCTTGGCCAGGGGAACGCCATGTTTGCTCCCATTTTATGGGTGGGGACACTGAGTCCCAGGGAGGTGGTACAAACCAGCTGAGGTCACACAGCTCCATGCTGGTGAAGTAGGCTGTCTAAACCCTGCGTTTTTCACCGATATCCAAGTTGTTCATTTATTCATTTGTGAGGTTGATTATGGGGGGGGAGTTTCTTTTTTCTACTCTGGACATGAGCAAAGAGCAGACCCTTCTCCTGCCTCCCCACACCCTTGCCTCATAACTTCCCAAGCAGCTGAGGGAAAGACAGTAGCCACCAGGGGGCGCTGCTCGGGGGCCACGCCTACACACACACAACCAGGTGGGTGGCAGGAAAAGAGGTCGGAGAGGGGGAGGGGCAGGGCACGGGGGCCATAGTTGGTCTGAGCCCCACTGCAGGCCACGGACAGCCCCTTTAGAGTCCTCAGCTACGTGCAGAATCTTTGAATTTGTATCCACCGAGAAACTCCAAATGTGTAGAAGAGAAATGAGAGTGTGAGACTGCTGGAGTCTCAGGGACCTACTGGCATCATGGGGTTGCTGGGAAGTCACTGACTAGCTGGGACTCACTGGGTGTCCCTAAAGTGTCAGGGGCTTGGCATCCGACACAAAGGCAACAGCTGACGTCTCGGCCTGGTCAAGCCGACCTCGCAGGTGCAGAACGGAGGCTGAGCAGGGAGGGTGTGCCCAGGCTGCCGGGAAAGCAGGGGCGGGAAGGGCCGGAGGGTGTGGGGTTCACCCAGGGCGGCCTGGTCAGGGAGGCGGCATCTGAGCGAAGACCCGACACTGGGGTGTGGTGGGGGAAGCTGCGTGGGTGCCGGCGGGGGTGTGGCAGGGAGGACGAGGACCCAGGGTCTGACAGAGCAGCCCAAGCTGCATCAGACCTTGTGGGTCATTGTGGCGACCGTGTCTCTTGTTCGAGGAGGCAGTGGTGTCCCTGGGTGTTTGAGCGTGGGGTGGTTGTGGTGGATCTGGCCTGTGTCTGATGGGAACCCTTGGGCTCCGTGGAAGGGACAGAAAGCAAGCCACCTGCCCAGTGGGTGATCCGTCAGGGGGTCATGGGGATCCAGTCAGGGAGCGAGGGGGGTGGCAGTTGGTGGCTGACGCTGAACACACGTGGGGGGTGGAGCCTATGGTTTGTGACTGTCAAGGTGACAATCAGAATTTGGGGGTTGGGCGTGTGTTAAGTTTGAGATGCCTTTTTCTAATGGGCTGGTGCACCCCAGACCCGGCCCTCAGGGGGCAGGCCCGGGAGTAAATCCGGGAGCTGTCGGCATGCAAGTGGAACCGGAAGCCCTGACCTGGGGCAGGTCACCAGGAGAGTGAGTGTAGACAGAGGACGGGGGAGATGTGGGGAGAGCCAGGCGTGTGTGATACGGAGGTGACACAGGAGGGGCGAACGATGGGCCAGGTGAGGCAAGGCTGGGTGGGGCCCTGCTCCAGCGGTGTGGGGGTCACTGTGACCTTGGCAAGCAGGGTGCTGTGGGGTGCTGACTGGCCCGAGGTGATGGCAGCATTTCAGGTGGGAGGAATTTCGTGCTGGGTGTCAGACCTGAGGTATACAGATGTTATAACAACCCAGCCCTTGGAGCCGAGCCTGGGTGTAGCTCAAAGGAACCCGTAACCTCGGGGGGAGCAGGAAGGGGACCTGGAGTGGGGGCTGTGGCTGCACCTTCCTGTCAGTGTCGGTTCAGGGCCAGGCGGGCAGTGGGGCCTGGGGGTCTGTTTCCCGTGCAGTCGTGGGTTCCTTGCAAGTCGGAGCTGGAAGACGAACACTCCCCATGGTCAGATGGGGACACTGAGGCCCAGAGAGGGGGCGGGGCAGGGACTCGGGGTCAGGCCCCAGTTGGGACAGCAGACGAGGGGCCCTTGCTTTGGGACTGGCTGGGTTTGCACTGGGGGCTTTGGCAGCAGGTCCTGGTGGACACTTGAGTCTTGTGAGACGAGAGGCCTTGAGGACTGGGAGGCTCAGGCCGAGAGGTGGCCTGGGTCCAGCTCCCCACAGTCTTGCTGTGCCACCGTGAGACAGGCACAGGGTTTCAGACACGGTGGCACCTGCAGGAATAGACACCTAGGCCCAGGGCAGCAACACCCAGCACACGCTCCCACTTTGCGCTCCCACATACCCTGTCGGACACCCCTGGCTGGTCTGCAGCCCTGCCTGCCGAATCCAGATATGACCTCGAAAACCCATTTGCTTCCTGAGACAAACTGGCTCCTTCTGGGGACTGTGCCTGGGACGATGCCTGAGAGGCCCTGGTGTCCCTTTACTGGAACCACTGCCTGCGTCCCTCTCACTTTGCAGGGGGGCTGTCGGTGGCGGTTCCCGGTGAGATCCGTGGCTACGAGCTGGCGCACCAGCGCCACGGGCGGCTGCCCTGGGCTCGCCTCTTCCAGCCCAGCATCCAGCTGGCCCGGCAAGGCTTCCCTGTGGGGAAGAGCTTGGCAGCAGCCCTGGAGAAAAACCGGGATATCATTGAGCAGCAGCCCGCCCTGTGGTACGTCCACCAGGCTGGCCTGCCCTGGGGCTCGGGTGGGGTAGGCATGTCCCCAGGTCCCTGCAAGCCGTGAGTGGCTAGCTGATGGAGCACTTCCAGGAACCTGTGCTGATGGAGGGACAGGCTCCTGGAGACTTGAAACCCTTCCCACCATGTGAGGGGACACATTCCGAGCCTGGTGCTTGGGGTTCTGGCCTGAACAGCCTGGGCTGGATGCTGGAGGATGAACCCCAAGTGACAGGGCCACCCGCCCATGGACGGGAGCTGACTGTCCTTTGTTCTTGTTCCCTGTGCTGGGTGGCCGTGGGGATGGTCTGGCTAAGCCCACCACACCTGTCTGCCTCACGGGAGCCCCCTCTGCCCCAGCGAGGTGTTCTGCCAGGACGGGCAGGTGCTGAAAGAGGGGGACCGAGTGACCATGCCACGACTGGCTGACACGTACGAGACTCTGGCCTCCCAGGGCGCCCAGGCTTTCTACAATGGGAGCCTCACAGCCCAGATTGTCAAGGACATCCAGGCGGCCGGTGAGTGGATGACCTCTGGGATCGGGGTGGGGAACTTTGTAGAGGGAACCCTGAGCTGGGGCCCAGAAGTCTGGGGTCCTCAGACCCTCGGGTCCTGCCTGGGTTGGGCACTGGGCCTTCAGGGAGCACCTAGCAGGGGAGAGTCACAGAGGTGTTTGCAGTCAGCGACGGCCACGGGCCCACAGGTCCTGGTCAGGTCAGATCTCAGGAGAGAAAGCCCTCCCACCCTGGGCTTTCTGAGTGTGTGTTGGGGGGGCGGTGGTGAATGCAGGCATAGGTATGAGCCAGGGCTGAGGAAGCACTAAGTGCAGATCTGAGAGGTCTTCCTGGAAGAGGCAATGCCTGAGCTATAGATGAGATTGCACTTTATAGGCAGGGAGGGTGTTTCTGGGGGAGGGAACAGGCTAAAGCCTAGAGAGGAGGGCCAACCTGAAGGCCAGCAGGACAAGCAGGTCCAGGACAGCTGGTGTGGGCCTGGCCATGGGGCGGCGGCACCATCTGGGAGGACTAAGGACCTGGAGGGTGGGCCAGTGTGGAGGTGGAGGAGCAGCAGCCCTGCAGGGTGGACAGAGCTCCCTCCAGTGGTACGACCCCATCCTCAAATGGCAGCCCTGACCCCCAATAGTGCAGCCCGATCCCTATGTCGACTCCCCTCCATGGAGCTGCTGTTTGGTTGCAGGGGGCATTGTGACGGCCAGGGACCTGAACAACTACCGCGCTGAGCTGATCGAGGACCCACTGAGCATCAGCCTCGGGGAGTCCCAGCTCTACGTGCCCAGCGCCCCACTCAGTGGGCCTGTGCTGGTCCTCATCCTCAACATCCTCAAGGGTGAGCTGTCCACCACAGACCTGCAGGGGGCAGTGCCGAGTGAGCAGGCGCTGAGGGGACACTCAGGACTGGGAGAGTGTCAGGGGAGAGCGACGTGGGGAGCAGAGTCCCGGGAGTGGGGCTCAAGGGCAGCGGGGTCTGGTTCACCCCAGGCACCCAGTGCCAGACGATCATCTGTGGCGGAGCAGACCGGGCAGCCCTCTGGCTGGATGTATGGGCCCAGGCCCAGGTGTCCCTCATCTTGAAGCAAACACTGCTGCTGCTGGTCATTAAACACTCTGCTTCTGGAGGTGGGCCAGGTGGTTCGGGCAGGTGTGAGTCCACTCCGGGCGCCTGGCTCTCGCGGCTGAGCTGGGATGTCCCCAACAGTCGCCGGGCTCTGCCTTCCCAGGGTACAACTTCTCGCAGGCGAGCGTGGAGACGCCCGAGGCGAAGGGCCTGACCTACCACCGCATCGTGGAGGCCTTCCGGTTCGCTTACGCCAAGAGGACCCTGCTCGGGGACCCCAAGTTCGTCAATGTGACTGAGGTAAGGGGCAGGGCCTGGCCGTCGGTGGGCAGGGGCCAGCTGCAGGGGTGTCAGGAGGGTGCCCCTGGCGTTCTCTGCGGATTAACGAAGCCCCACGCCTGCTCTGCTGATTTGCCTTCACCGACTCCGGCGGTGGGGCCGGTCTGTGATGGGACGGACTGGTGACGCCGAGTCCGAGCCCCTGTCCCCGGAGCTCACAGTGCGACAGACTTGACAATGAGCGGTCAGTGCCCCTCCCTCCCCCACACTCCCACTTCCAGGCCTTCCGCCTGCTGTGTCCCCAGCCTGGAAGGCTCCGGACAAGTCAGTGCTGAGGTGAGGCCTGCACGGGGCTGGCGCAGCCCTCCGGGGATGAGAAGGACCGTGACAGGGAGAGGACGAGTGTCCCAGGCGGGCAGAGGCCTTGGCCACCTGCAAACCTGCCACGTCCAGGAGCTAACGCTTCCCAGACCCCCACCAGGCCCGGCACGCCCAGCCCACTCACCCCCAGCTGCCCCAGCCCCAGACTCGGCCTCACTGTGGCCCCGTGGCAGCCCTCCTGTCCTGCTTGGATCCCCCGGTTCTGGAGAAGGACCCCGCACACTGACCTGTGCTGCCCAGGATGGGCCTCAGCTGCCCAGCAACCCCTCTGGCCTCCCAGGCCTTCTCTGACCACTTTGTGCCCCCATCGCTCACCACGGCCTGTGACATGGCTCTCGTATCCCAAGGCGAAAGAAGCCAGTGTATGGCCACCCGCTCTGACCTCCCCCTGTGTCAGGTGGGCCTTCTGCTCACCCACCCGCCGACGCAGCCGCGCCCTCCCAGAGAGGCGGCTCTGCCTCTGGTGCCCCTGTTCTGCCCTTTCCGATCCTTGGTCCTTCACTACTGAGGCCTGTGTCACTCCAGCCCCCCCCCAATACCCCCCTGCTCCCCGCGGAGCAGACTGCAGGCTCCATCCCTCCTGGAGCCCTCTCCTGCCGGCCCCTGCCTTTGGTGGCCCTGTGGAGACCCAGTTTCAGAGGGTGTCTCCTGAGCGAGGACCACTGCCACGCACATCAGGCCGGCCGCCTCCTGAGACGCCTGTGTTGGGGTTTTGCTGAGGGTCCCAGTGAGTTTAGGCCCAGGGCCCACGGGGCTCACCCTGGCAGTTCTGTCTCTCGGCCTCCTGGCCCCCTGGGCTTCCTGCAGGTTTTATAAGCCCGGGGCAGTTTTCTGGTAGAGGGTCCCTCCTCCTGCGTTCGATTCTGTTTCCCTGAGTTGATTCAGGCTGTACACTTTCCTCCTGGATTAGTCAGTTAATCTGGGGGGCTTGCTGGACCCCTCTGGAGGCATTTCCTCTGCTGGGCCCCCAAGGGCTGTCCTTGCTGCCTCCTCCCTCCTCTCCGCCCTCCTCCTCTGTTTGCCCTTCCTCTCCGTCTGCCCACCCAGGCTCATGGCTTCAAGCCTCTGTCTCCACGTTGATCCCTCCGCGGATCTTGCCCATGATCCTGACACGGAGGTTCACCACCCACTCAAGACAGGCTCCTTGGTGTCCAGTGGGCACCTGTCCACAATCGAGCTCCCTCTATCCCCCAACCTGTCCCTCCCACTGTGTTCATGTCCCCCATAAGAGCCATTCTGGACTGAAGACGTTGGGGCCATTTTCAGTTCCTCCTCTCTCACCTGGGTGAGCCGCCTCATCTCTCCCCAACTGACGTCACAGCCTCTCTGTTGGGTTCCACTCTTTGACCCCATATGGCCTTCAGAGGGATCCTGGAAGCACAGCCACGGCATGCTCACCCCTCTGTCCCAATCCTGGGTGGTGGAGAGCAAAACCCAAAGTCTTTAGGAGGCTTGTGCAGACCTGAGATCAGCCTCTGCCTGCATCTCCAGCCGCCAGTCGTCTTTACCCAGCTCACCATCTGCCTGCCTCAGGGCCTTTGCACTTGCCACCCAGGCCTCATTCAGTGCTCCTTCCAGATGTCACCTCCTCTGAGAAGCCCTCCCTGACCACTCCACCCCCACCCCACCCTTTCCTGGCTTGTTCTTCCCAGCAGGTCCCTGCCTTCCTGGCCGTGAGGGTGGGGACCTGTTAGTGTGTTCCCTGCTGACCCCCCAGTGCCAAGCACGCAGTGCAAGCTCCATGAATAAGTGCATGTGGCTAGAGGGGAGGCACGGGGGACAGACAGACAGACATTCAGAGTTGCTGGATGGCAACAGGGCTGAGGCTGGTGAGGAGCGGACGGGCCTCAGGAGGTCAAGGGTGCAGGAGGCTCGGGCTCAGAGCCATGGCCGGGGCCTTCCTGAGAGCTGCCTGCACAAGTCGGTGCCCCTTCCCACCCCTCCACCTCCTCAGGACAGCTCTGGGGTCTCGGCAGGTGGTCCGAAACATGAGCTCCGAGTTCTTCGCTGCCCGACTCCAGGACCGGATCTCCGACGACACCACTCACCCAACCTCCTACTACGAGCCTGAGTTCTACACGCCAGACGACGGGGGCACCGCCCACCTGTCTGTGGTTGCCGAGGATGGCAGCGCCGTGTCGGCCACCAGCACCATCAACCTCTAGTAGGGGCTGCCAGGTGGCCTGGGTGGGCCCGGGCTGCCCTCCTGTCCCAGAGGCGGGGCTCCATCCATCCCTTTCATGGCGGGAAGCTGAGCTTCCACCTTGGTAGAACACTTGCCCCAGACCCCAGGGGGCACAAGGCGGGGCTTCAGTGGGTGGGCGGGGCCCCAGCCGCGGGCTGGGCACAGCCGTCTGACTCAGCCCGCCTGCAGCTTGGGTTCCAAGGTGCTCTCGCAGGTCAGCGGGATCCTGTTCAACGACGAGATGGACGACTTCAGTTCCCCCAACATCATCAACCAGTTTGGGGTGCCCCCCTCACCAGCCAACTTCATTAAGCCAGGTGCCGGGTGGGCGCGTTGGGTGGGGATGGGGCTGGTGTCCCAGGAGGGCAGCTGACCAGCCTGTCTGTCCCCTACTGCCCACTGCCCTCAGGGAAGCAGCCGCTCTCGTCCATGTGTCCAGCAATTATCGTGGACCCGGATGGCCGGGTCCGTATGGTGGTGGGTGCCTCTGGGGGCACCCAGATCACCACAGCAACAGCACTGGTAGGTGCCCCCCCCATGCCCTCAGCCCCGCCCTCGGGCCGCACTGACCCCGAGTCCCACTGACCGTCCCGCGTAGGCCATCATCAACAGCCTGTGGTTCGGCTACGACGTGAAGCGGGTGGTCGAGGAGCCCCGGCTGCACAACCAGCTTCTGCCCAACACCACAACGGTGGAGAAGCACATCGACCAGGTGGGGTGGGAGGTGGAGAAACTGAGCCACGGTGGGGGGGGTGGGCACCGGGCGTCCTGAGACCGAGTTCTGGACCTCCTGTCTGGTCACGGAGGGGGTGGCAGCTGGCGCCCCCTGCCAGGAGCAGATGTCCTCACACCCGCCGCCCAGGCCGTTTCAAGCCCCCGTGCCCTGAGGCCCAGGCCTTGGGCTCCACCCGAGACCCAACAGGCCCAGCTGCCCTGACTCGCTCTTCCTGGGCATTATCTGGGTCTGTGAAGCCCCTGACCACACGGGTGTGGTGTCTCAGGTCCCCTGAAGCCTCCCTCCCGTGCTCCCCACAGGCAGTGACCACAGCCTTGGAGACCCGGCACCACTACACCCAGGTCACGTCCACCTACATCGCTGTGGTGCAGGCCATCGTCCGCACGGCTGACGGCTGGGCCGCCGCCTCGGACTCCAGGAAAGGCGGGGTGCCTGCCGGCTACTGAGCTGCAAGATGCTTACAAAGGACTGAGACTTTGGGGGTTGGGCTTCTCCCAAGAGAGACAAAGCAGTGCAATAAATGGGGGCCACAGCACTAGGTGCTGGCTGGCTCCCGGTTTTCTGGGCCTCAGAATTCTGTATAAAATGGAGCTGCCTGGTGGGGAGGATGGTGAGCCCCTCAGGTGGGAGGGGGCACAGAGCAGGCCCATGCCACACCCTGTCCTTCCTCACCCTGAGCCCCAGCCCCCAGGGACCAGGCCTTCCAGTCCCTGTGCTGGGCAGCGGTGCTTCCAGTTTGGGCCACCAGGAGGCACCATAGCCATGGCTTTCCTGTGAGCAGAAGCTTCCCACCCATCCTAGGAAGCTGGGTGCCTCCTCGGCCTGGCGGGTGACCAGATCACCCTACTGAGGACACAAGGAGATGAAGCTGAGGTCTGGGGAGTGGGATTGGGCAAAAGACTGGAGCAGAGCATGCTGGTCAGAGCCAGGCCCCGGGGGTGCTTTCCGAGCACAAATCCAGAATGAAACCCAAGCTGCAATCAGCTCCGGGAGGCCCAGTTCTCAGGAAAAGAGAACTGGAAGAGGTCCCAAGATCCCTGAGGGTCAGGGCTTGAACCAGTGGGTGGCTGGGGAACACAGCGCAGGGGGCCAGGGGGTGAACACGACACCCTGTCTCCCACACCCTGGGCCAGCCCCTCATCTGCCCTCAGGGTCTGCTAACTCATCTCGGCACCTACGGTGAGGTGCTGGGAAGGGCTGGCAGAGGCGGGCAGGGGAGAGGGCACCCCAGCCCCACAGATCCCGCACGCTGGTGAGCATGAGGGGGCTTCTGGGGGCAGGGGGGCAGGGGGCAGCGCGGGCATCGGGCTCTCCTTGCAGAGGTGGGAACATCCGGTGCTTCAAAGCGTCCACAGGGCAGCGGGCTTTGTGCCTGCAGTCTGAGCCCTGTCTCTGGGATCCCCCGGGGGGGCTGGAGGCTGGGCTGGGGGAACGTGCCGGTCACCCTCTGCCCCTCGTTTTGTTCCCAGAGGATAGCCCACGGCCACATGTATGGGGGGAAAGGCGGAGGCCAGAAGGGTGGGCTTTGGTCCAGATGAAAGTGGGGGCTGGCCAGGAGGCTCCCCGGGCCCTAGCACGAGGACAGGGTGCACCCCAGTTTCCTAGGCCCCGAGGGGCTCCTTTGAGGCCCGGGGACCCCGTTTTCCCTCTTTCTTTCCCTTTGTCCCCTGAGCCTCACGTCTGGACACAGACACTCAGGGCCTTCCCAGCTGGTCCTCCTTCGCTGCCCCTCTGGCCAGGCCACTACTTGTGATGTCAGTTTCTTTCCTGGACATTTGTTCTGTGGTCCCCACATCCTGGCCTCTGCCTGACCAGGATGGCTGGGGAGAGGAAGGGGGATGTCCCACCCCTGACCCTGCCTTCCCCCTCTCTCGCCCCTCCCCACCATGTCCCTGCTTCCTGGAGGGTGGCCTGGCCCTGGCCCTGGCCCAGGAATGCACTTTGGTTTCTGGTTGAGCAATGTCACTGGCACGTGGGGGTGGAGGTAGGGTGGGAGCGGGCACCCGCAGCCCTCACCACCCCACGAAGCAGCCGTGGGAACCAGCCTACGGGAGAGCCTGCCCCGGCAGGCCCGAGGGGAGGGCGGGTGTACCACCAAGGCTTGCTGGGGCAGGCCATGGGAATGGCAGTGAGGGAGTTAACCACCACCACTTGCTGTTCTAGGAGGAAAAATTCCCCATGAACGCAGTGGCCTTCTTGGTCTCATTCCAGGGCTAAGAGCAGGAGCTGAAAACTGGAGTTCAGGCGTGCGACCAGCTCTCCTGCTGTAGCACGCACGCCAGGGGGACAATTGTCCTGCTGCCACGAGCCATCTGTCCACACACCCACCTGTCCGCTTGGTTGTCCACTGCTCGTCTGTTAACCTGTCTGCCTGTCCTTCTGTAATCCCGCCTTTGTCCAATTGTCTATCTGACCATCCTTCTCTTGCTGTCTTCTCTCCAGCTGTCCGGCCCACCTATTAATCTGTTTGTCTGTCTGTCCTATCACCTGCGAGTCCCTCTGTGAATTGTCCTGTCCATTTAGCCACGCAGCCGTCTGTGCATCTGTCTGCCCACTGGCCTCCCCTCTCCAGTCTCCTCTCGGGGCTGCGGAGCCATGGCCCAGGGCTACGGGGTCACGATGGGCGTGGTGCTTCTGGGGCTGGGCCTGGCCCTGGCCATCATTGTGCCCGCCGTGGTCCTCTCTCGCCACTACCCCCGCTGTGGCCCCCGGGCCTTTGCCCATGCTGCAGTCGCCGCTGACTCCAAGGTCTGCTCGGACATTGGACGGTGAGTACGGGGTGGGCAGTGGCTTGTCCCCCCATCCAGAGATACTGTGACCAGTGGCAAGAGTGTGGAGAAGGTGCATTTGTTGTGTGCTGGCATGTGGGGACCACGTGGGCGTGGGCTCTCGCAAGGAAGCAGCCTCCGGGCCCTTGCACGAGGCAGGCAGCAGGCAGCGGGCACGTGCGCGGGGCGGGTGGGCGTTCGGGAACCATGACAGCGTGGGCACAGGGTATGTGGCTCTGTTCCTAGTTCCAGGAGTCAGGAGGCTCAGTGAAGGCACTGCCACAGTGTCACCGGTCTAGCCCAGGCTGATTTCAGTGACCAGTGCTGGCCCCCCCAGAGAGGCCACACCGGTTCCCCAAGGCTGGGTCTTCTCCCAGGGCCATGGGAGAGGGACTGTGGGGGCCCCATCTACGAGTATTGGCCTGCTGGGGTGCATTCAGTACTGTCCAGGCCCGTGTCCCACTCTGGCCCGGGACCTGGGAACCCACCGCTGCTGGAACCGCACCCACATGGACTCACCTTCCTGTGTCAGGGCCTGGAGCTGGGCCAGCAGTGGGCGGAGTGATGTTTTGCTGTTTGTTGGGCCAGGTCCAGTGGGGCAATGGAGAGGGACCCCAGCTGGTGTTTGTGACCCTCTTCCAGGAAGCCCAGCCCAGGGGAGGCTTCTGCTGACCCCCCCCCCCCCCCCCGGGATTAAACAGGGCGGGATTCTGCTCCCACCCACATCCCCTCCCTGCCCTCTGGGTCTGCTTCCCGGAACCTCTGCTTCATGGCCATGGTCAGGATCAGGCTTGGTTTGTGAGCTGAAAGGGGCCGCCCCTTGAGCAAGGACAAGGGGGAATATGGCCAAGTCCCAGCCCGAGGCACCACTGGGCAGATGGTTCCCACTTTGTCCCAGCGTCGCCCTGCCTGCAGGCTTCCTTCCTCTGTTTCGTTCGTTCGCCTCTTCGTTTACTCCTCCATCCCTCCATCTGCCCACTGCTGACCTGGTCCCCTGGGCTCTTTCTGTCCTCTCCCTCAGGGCTCCTTACAGGATGCCAGTGGCTGAGAGTGGCAGCTCGGGGCAAGGGGGGAGCAGGCTGCTTAGTCTCCCCAGGGGCTTCCCAGGGGGCGGGAAGAGAGCGAGCCCCTCCGTGGTCTTGGGAACGTGCAGAGGTGCCACGCCCACCTGAACCCACAGCTGCGAAGATCAGGCCCAATCTGGGTCTTGCCTGGGGTCTCCGTGACATGCCCATGGGAGTCTCGGTGTCTCGGTGCTCCCAGTGACCCTGTATGAGGAAAACAGATGTGGTTTCTCCCCATTGTTTATTTACTTGTCCACTTCCTGTTCTTGTTTTAAGAAGCTGGAAATGGGAGAGGGCCTGGAGCTGTCCCAGCTACTGTGGTTCCAGGGGGTCACCGAGCCCCATCCCGCTGGAAGCTTGCTGGCCCCCCCCGCCATCACAGGGTCTCACAGGGGCCACAGCCTGCAGCCCTCGGCCCTTCCCCCTCCTCCCTCCACTTCCCCACCAACTTCTCTTCTTACCAGCAGGGCCCCCCAAACCGATCTCCTTCTAACCTTTCAGACTTTCTCCTTCCAGGCTGGGACTGGGGCTGCAGCCCGAGCCCCTAGGGGAGGGTTCCCAAGGTTCCCCCAGCCCCATCCTCGTGGGGGTGTAAGGGACGCGCAGTGACGGGAGGTCTCTTCCCCTCTGGCCTGTCATCTTCCAGCGTTATGTCCTGGTGTGTCAGGCTCGTGTGCAAACAGGGTGCCCTGAGGCTCTGAGTGTCTTCTAGGGCCTCGCCAGTGGTGGCCCCAGACTTCATGCTGTCTGTCTGCCGTGACCACGCACACACGGCTGTCCTCCTGCTGTGTCCTCAGTGGAGGAGGGTTCACTGCTTCTCCCTGAGTCCAGTGGGTTTATGTCAGTACTTGGTTTATGAGGGAACTGGGCCTGTACAGGGGGGACCTACCTGGTGAGAAGTGAGTGGGCCGGGCTGGGACCACTGTTCTCTGCCGCCCTGCTATGGTAGAAACTCTCCAGGGCTGCTGAGGGGCAGGGCCTCCCCGGAGTCCCCCACCCCATTCCCTGAACCCTAATGCCTACCCAGCCTCTTGGCACAAAATATTCCAAGTGATGAAAAGCAAGGATCTGCAACCAAGATTACTCTGTCCAGCAAAGCTATCATTTGGATTTGAAGGACAGATAAGGAGCTTCCCAGACAAGAAAAACCTTAAGGAGTTCACCACTGCCAAATCAGTGTTACAAGAAACATTGAAGGGTCTTCTTTACGAAAAAGGGGGAAAATGATGCGGACACTGGCCAGCACGGTCCATGGCCTTGTGGATGAGACAAAACAAATTCACATGGACTACCGAAGTCCTGTGGAGAAAAAGGGATGGCATGGCCACCCTCTCAAAGGAAGAGCACCTCCACCCTTGTCTTGACAAGCTTTTATTGCTTTCTAGTAGCATGTGTCAAGAAGGTTCTCATTCATTATGCTCAGGTTGGCTGTAGGTGATTGCTTTTACAGATAACAAAGGAAAAGATGTTACTGATTACTATTTACAGATTAACAAGGAAAAGATGTTGCAAATGCAAGGGAACGATAAGAGTGATTGGTCTGGTTACACTCCATCCTTGGGAGAATTAGCACAGACTTTAGGAAGTTGCTTCAAAGATATGCAGTAGACATTTGTAGCTTCAATTCAGGGTGAGGAAGTTTTAGCAAAAGCAAGTCTCAAAGCAGCCTGGGTACAATGCAGGCCTGGTTTCCCACGGGAGAGCCGATCCGTGGGTTTGGCTCCAGTGTGCCTGTGGGCTTTCCAACAGGGCTGTACTACATTTGCATTTCACACAGATAGGTTCCTTATAGGGGAAAGATCAAAATATGAATAATAAAAGGGCAATGAATATATATTTGTCATCCATATATTTGTTGCAGCATTATTTATAATAACCAAGATATGGAAGCAACCTAAGGGTCCATCAATAGATGTGTGGAGAAGCAAGAGGCAGGTACACACAGTGGAATATGACTCAGCCATAAAAAGGAATGTGATCTTGCATCTGCAACAACGTGGATGGACCTGAGGGTATTGTGCTGAGTGAAATGTCAGGCAGAGTAAGACAAATGCCACATGATTTCACTTAAATGCGGAATCTAAAAAAACAAGATAAATGAACAAACAGAACAGAAACAGACTCACAGATACAGAAACATTTTGATGGTTGCCAGGTGGGGGGGCGGTTAGGGGTCTGATGAACAAGGGGAGGGGTTGAGAAGCACGGACTGGCAGTCACGGGGCAGTCACGGGGATGGAAAGTACCATACGGGGAACATGGCTAATAATGTTGCAGTGACTGCGTGTAGTGCCAGACGGGGACTGGACCTGTCAGGGTGGTCGCCTTGTAAGTGACCTGAACTGGTTATACACCTGCAACTAACATAAGGCTGTGCATCCACTGCAGTGGGAAAGTGAAACATGATTAAAAAGAAAAAAATAGAAATGCTCCCTGAGTTTCTAGCCTGCCGGTCTACCACACAGATTTTGAACTTGCCAAAGTCCGCAATCACATAAGACAATTCCTCAAAATAAACATCTTTCCCCATGTGCCGATCCCGTTGGTTGTGTTTCCCCGAGACCCCACCGCTGGTACGGTTCTGTGCTGTGAGTAGCAACCACCTAGTCACCTCTTCCTCCTCCTGCTCCTCCTCTCCCCCAGCATAGGGTTTGAAGGGGCACCTTTTTACTGTTAACACCTATCAGACAATAAATGAGCTTGGCCTGTTTTTATATTGCCCATCCATTCTCATCCACCGTCCTTTCCTGTTCACGCAGCAGACCTCACCACTCATCACAGTTTCAGCTGTCTCTGTCAGGTTTTCCTCTTTCTACCTGGTGCGTTTTCTGTCCACACACTCATTGAAAGGAAAATTTTCATTGGTCCAATTAATACATTCGTAACATCCACTTTATATGCAATAACACAGGCAAGCTTACTTTCAGCAGTACTTTATTATTAAAGCCAAAGATGTTAGTACTTTATTATTAAAGTCATAATATACATTATGTATATATGTATTTATATTACATTATATATTATATTATATTAATCTCAGAACAATAGCCATTGCATTGCCATACTGTTTCCATAATAACCATCACTTTTAGTCTTTTTTAAAAATATATTTGCCATGGCTGGTGTGCTCAGTGGATTGAGCATGGGCCTGCAAACCAAAAAATCGCGGTTCGATTCCCAGTCAGGGCATATGCCTGGGTTGCAGGCCAGTTCCCAGCAGGAGACGCATGAGAGGCAACCATACACTGATATTTCTCTTCCTCTCTCCTTCCCTTCCCCTCTAAAGATAAATAAATAAAATCTTTTTAAAAACATAAAAATATATTTTATTGATTATGCTATTAGTTGTCCCATTTTCCCCCTTTGATTCCCCTCTGCCCTGCACACCCCCTCCCACCTGCATCCCCCCCCCACCTTAGTTTATGTCCATGGGTCGTACATGTAAGTTCTTTGGCTTCTCCATTTCCTACACTATTCTTAACCTCCCCCTGTGTATTTTGTACCTACCATTTATGCTTCTTATTCCCTGTACGTTTCCCCCCATTCTACCCACCTCCTGGCTGCTAACCCTCCATGTGATTTCTATTTCTGTGATTCTGTTCCTGTTCTAGTGGTTTGCTTAGTTTGTTTTTGTTTTGTTTTGTTTTGTTTTGTTTTGTTTTAGGTTCCGTTGTTGATAGTTGTGAGTTTGCTACCATTTTACTGTTCATAGTTTTGATCTTTTTCTTAGATAAATTTCTTTAACATTCATACAATAAGAGCTTGGTGATAATGAACTCCTTTAACTTGACCTTATTATCTGGGAAGCATTTTATCTGCCCTTCCATTCTAAATGAAAGCTTTGCTGGTTAGCGTAATCTTGGACGTAGGTCCTTGCCTTTTATGAGGAATACTTGGAATACTTCTTTCCAGCCCCTGCTTGCCTGCAAGGTTTCT